CATAGTTCGAATAAACGGCCAAGTACATGGTCGAATACATGAACTCAGGTCACTATGGTGTGGTGTAATGGTAAAAAAAACTTGTATCGCTAGATAAGTTACTACTGAGTAGTGAGTTCGATCCATCATCTATACTTTTGCCCTTGTATCAAATCTAAGCTATGCTGCGTAAATCACAATTTGCTTCACGGATTTCGGGCCGGGATCAAAGTGTAATATCGGTTTTTCTCTTTAACCAGTGATTTGTTTCTTTTTTGTTTCACGACATATCAACACCAATGGGTTAATTAATGCAAGATTTTTATTGCTGGTAACAATTTTTCAACAATGTATTGCTGGCTATATTTTTTCTTCAAAAATTTATTGCTGGCAATTTTTTTTTACAAAAACATATTGTTGGTATTAAAAACTATTTTTACACTTTCATTGTGTTTTGACCCCAGTTTGGAGGTTAACTATTTGTCCATAGCTAGGACCCTAACAGGTGCTACCACCCCGGGTCAAGGTGGACCTGGGAACATCAGCAATTAAGAGGTGGTTCCACGCTCCTTAAAACCTCCTGACCAGAGGCCATGCTGTTAGATGTAGTTTATCGTTTGATTCAGGATGCTCTTTAATCAAAGCACCGGGTCTTGGAGATTCCCTCTCTACAACATCTGCTGGTAAGAAGGTCAGTAGAATTATCAACGCCATCATATCAGTGATGACGGGATCTTTTTAGATTGACCGATTTTCACCCCAGAACAAAAATGGCCTTCTGTCAAATCCTGCACTCGTGGTGGGTGGGTAAATGCCATCTATGGGCACTTCGACGTAGTGTAATGTTTATCAACTAGATCAATTTCGATCATTTAGTGTGTTCGATCCTCACTGAATGCTCCAAACTTGCAACCTTGCGCCACATTTAAACTAGGCTTAGTAAATCGCTGAATAGGCCAGCCATCATTTATTCGGTCATCTAGTTGGTATCAAAGTATAGTACCCATTTTCGTTTACTCTCAAAATTATGAGAGAAGACCGATCCCGATGATTCCAACCCTGCGGCAACATCTCCCTCATTGTACTAAAGCGGAAGCGATAGCCACAGGGACTGGGAAATTTCTGACCTTAGTCCATATATATGCGTATGGAAACCCACATTAAAAAAGAGCTCGTGAAAGGATAATTAAATGTCATTCAATACACGATCTCTTATTAAAGCCAAGGTTCTAGTTTAGGTCTTCCATAGATATTGGACTAAGATTCCGTCTCAAGAGGAGATACTAAATTATTATAATTACTATTGCCCTCATTTCCTTTGATTTCTGTTGTATACACATTTCCTTCCGGGTCCCAACCAGAGACCTAAGTTCAGAAATGGCTGATTATTTTTGTAAAAACAAAACAATCACACAGATTTTACATAGATAAAGCTCTTTGTAATGTGTGAACTGTAGTTGTGAGTACATTTTTTATATTTCTTTAAGGCTACCACAAATCCCTTCAATGTATCTATCTGAACCTTTTTTTCAAACAAACCAAGAGTCCCAACTACAGCTGTAATTATTGCTGTCTACATATTATTATTATTATTATTATTTTATTTCCTTTGATTCTGGTGTGTACACATTTCGTTCCGGGTCCCGCCCAGAGACATAAGGTTAGAAATGGCATCATGAAATTTTCCACTGACAAAAAAAGAAAAAAACATATTTTACATAGATAAAGCACTCCGCAAGGTGTGGGCTGTACTCGTGAGAACAATGTTTTGTATTTCTTTAAGGCATGGACTTCCAGGAATCCCTTCAATTAGCCTACTGGAATCTTTTCCAACAAATCCGAGGGCTCCAACTACAACAGGGATTGATGATGTTCCCATGTGCCACATTTTTGAGATTTCGATTTCAAGGTCCTTGTATTTTGATAGCTTTCGTCTTCTTCTTCTTCTTCTTCTTATTATTATTATTATTATTATTGTTGTTAAAGGTCGTAAGTAATTTCCGTTTTGGGAAATTAATTATATCGTCCTAAATAGTGATCGTAAAGAATAAATTTGGAGTAAGCTAAAAAAAAAATTACTTTTTGCACAGCAGTGTACACAGTGAGTTAAATAATAAATTTCTTAGCTTCACTAATGGTGATATTGAAAGGGCGTGATGTTATACGTGTTCAATTAATGGAATAACGCTATGGAGTCATCCAGTCAAATATACCGTGCTTATATGGTCACTATGTCATAAATGACCAGCTCGTGCGTAACTGGCTTGTAAAATTTCGTTCTGGATAAATGCCACTGGAACTTACACTCAGACCGAGGCGTTCATCTCTCCTTGGTGATGAAAAGCTCTAATGCCATTAGTGAAAGCAATACATTAAAAAGCACTCGTGAAATAACAAAGATATTAAACACGTCACAATATCAGAACATACCATTAAATAGAATGTAATTGCACTCTATTTCTCAAGAATAAAGTTATCAAACAAAAACGGAAATTATTTATGACTAGACCTAATAACGGTGAATGCTTTGATACGACATAAGACAAGGCTTTCATGGCTTCAGATCTTAAACGATTGTTAACAGAGATGTTAACATGTATATATTTTGTCTTGGGATATAAGTATATTGTTCAGTATCACACATTTACATTTCGGTTCTTCTTCTTTTACGTGTCGTTTCGCTTCAGGGCGTAGGAGATCATGACCCTCCACATCTTCCTGTCCTTTTCAGCTCTTAATAAGTTTTGTCTTCTTGTTATTTCTCCCAAACCCTTATCTCCAATCTATTTGCTCAAGCCCATCAAGTATGTTACGCACTGTTTTTCTTTGTCTCTCTTTCACTTAATCTGTCCTGTGAGTATCAAATTTTCCAAACCCTACTTCCTCACTACGTGCCCCAGAAATTTCAACTGTCTCTTCGTGATGTTATGTATGTTTCCTTGTTGTTACCATTTTCTCCAAAACCTTGTCGTTGCTCACATGTTCGGTTCATGGTATCCTCAGCAACTAGAATCACATTTCTGTTGCTTTAAATCTTGTCTTCATCTTTGAGGAGAATGTACAGTATATGCTGCCATACAGGACGACAGGTATCACGTAATAATTCAGTACTCTTTTCTTTGTTTTTAATATTTTCTTAATATACGGTTTACCTGACCATAACCACGTGGCTATGTCGCCTAGGTTTTGATGTATCGTAAGTCTTTGTTCATGTAATGGTTAATCGAAGAGTCAAGTTCCAATTCCAGTCGGGTTCATTCTATTCACTTACGCGCAAATACACCCGGGAAAGGTACAAATCCACGTCTTCTCTCCCAGCTACGGGTTAATTAGTAAGACTTGTATCACTAAATCATTATTATATTTATAAAAATTCTTAATGTCTAAAAATAACTTGCAAAGGGTTGATAAACCGTAGAAAATGAATTAATCGAGTCTGCTGCTAGATGTTTGTTCACTGTGTCTAGTCTAACCCGAATCTACATTATTTACATTATCTCATCTTTGTCGCCATATTTATTACAACGTTTCGGCCCTTCAGTATCTGTCTATATTTCTGAGATGAGGTATTATGTACATTATTCTGATGTCCTCATCTTTGTCGCCATATTTATTACAAGGAAGGTCGAACTGAACCCTTTATTTCGCTCACTGGGGTAGACTGTTCTAGTTCCACGTGCCATGTTTAATGGATGTCAGTTGTCAGTTATCTCTTGTTAATTTCCTCTGAAGATGCTCCACTGCCTTAACCCGGTATTGAACTCACACTCTTTGGGTCCTGTCACTGGATCTAACTAACGCCTTTATCCCTTGAGGACATCTGTGTATGAATTTCTGGGTATTATAAACCTAATATCTTCAGCAACCATTTTTTACCAGTGCTCATATTGCAATTTTTGCTGTTATAATTGTATGTTTTTACTAGAGCTCATATTGCCGAAACGTTGTAATAAATATGGCGACAAAGATGAGGACAATAGTCCGAATAATGTAAATAATGTACATAATACTTCATCTCAGAAATATAGACAGATAATAACCCGAATCTGTTTTGCACTTTTAGAAGTCTACCATTCGTCCGGGTATTGAATCTTGCTGCCACATCTGGTCTGGTGCTTTTGCTTTATATAAATCTAGAGATTCTTGCCAAAATGCGAAGAATTCACAATATTATCGGTCCTCGTTACAACCATTTCCCACCTACGAAATGTACGTTCGTTTTGCCTTTTCTATGAATATATTCATTGCAATTGTTTTGGTGAGCTCTCCTCTTTGGCATCTTGACTTCATAAATTTAAAAGCAGTACTAAGTCAGTAACTATATCTAATCATTTAAACTGTTGAAATTTCTAAGTATAACTTTAAGTCCTGTTCTAAGTATCTTCTCGCTTAACGAACTCTCTTCCAGCTTCTTGCTTTCCTGTCAACTACAATCTTCGAAAAAATTAAATTAAATGTCAATCGACGTCTTGTCTCCTTGAAGTCTATTCTTTTCCTTGTTCTTTCCCTTCAGTAACGTTTTCTCAATTCCTTTCATTCTCAGTGAGCCCTTGCGTCTTAGTGGATTTATCGCCTTACTTGGGGATGAAAAAAAATTTTAAAATAGTAAAAAGTCAGAACAAAGGAAAAATGGATTAACTCGAACAAGGACGTGTCTTTAAAACGGACTACAAAGTGAAGACAAAAAAAAGAAATGGTAAAAAATCCAAAACCATGGTCTGGAATTGGAAAAGAAACGGACGAACGAATGAACGAACGAACGAACGAAGTATGAAGTATATAGGTTAAGTGCCGAGAACAAAACGAAGATTTTATGAATTATAAAATAGAGAAAGATTGTCCTGGCAACGGCATTGCTAAGATGTACGTGGATACTGAGAAAGCAGGCGAAGATTTAAGATTTACTGCCTCTTGATACCACGCCCGCCAATGACAACCATCTAATGTGATCATGAAGATGCAATATTAATAATAATAATAATAATAATAATAATAATAATAATAATAATAATTCGACTTACCTTGGTTGACAATGAATAGAAACACGCCGACAAAAATAAATGTCTGTGACATGGTCATTGCTAATATTTCGTACAGCTGAGCGCACGCCAAAACAGAATCGATGAATCGTTGATATGTGAACCACTCAAGGCCGTTTAGTCAATGGCCTCCAGACGAAGCACTAAGCGATTTTGTATTTAACCAGTCCCTTTATGCGTTTCCAAATTATCGTCATCTCACGTGCAGTCGAGTAAAAATCGGACTCCGACATCTGGAAGAACAGACGAGCCTACGGCAAGAGTTCTCACCGATTACGCGTAACTGTAGAACTCTGTTTATTGTTCTAATAGTTTTATTTTATTTTTCTAGTTACATCTTACAGTACGATAAAAGTCTTACTCCTACACACACACACACACACTCTCTCTCTCTCTCTCTCTCTATCTATCTATCTATCTATCTATCTATCTGTCTATCTATTCATCACTTTCTCTCTTTACAACACTATTTTTACATTCCCTCTACCAATTTTCATTCTCTCCCCCAACGGCCCTCCTCAAACTCTTCATTTCTTCCATTCATTCTTCTGTCTTTCTTTTGTATCCCTCCCCATCTAATTTATTCTTTCTTTCTTCTTTAATTTTATGTTCTTTCTCCACCTCTCTCCCCCACTCTCTCTCTCTTTCTTTATCGAGTTCTGCAATATTCATCGGTACCTATTTCATTTAGAAATGGGTCAACTAGCCTCGATTTGAAATGGAGAAGGAAACCATCTTGCCTGACATTTCATGAGTTATTAGAATTTTTCAAAAATCGGTCGTTTTTTCTCTTAATACATACGTCATTGATTTTTTTTCCTTTTCTTTCCCTCTATTTGTTTTGTTTTTTTCGTTTTCTCTATCATTCACTCCACTTCTATATTTTTCCTCTCTTTTTATTTCATTTGTCTTTTAATAAGCTAAGTAATGGTCAAGCAAACTAACTTGCTAATCGGCCCCTCCGCCAAGGGGTTCTTCAATTTGCACAACTTAGCTTCGTTGAGAACAAGTTCGCAAGTATGGGGTGGACACAGCAATCATGATAACTTGATATGACCCTATCTTGAGGGGGTCCTTTAATTTACTAAACTTTCCTTGCACCTTTTTAAGTTTTCATTATTCAGTTTTTCTTTTTTCTCGTTTTGTTTCTTTTTCTTTATTCGTTTCTGTATCTCTTTCTTTCGCTTGTTTCACTTGTGTTTTAACCTTTCCTTCTGTCTCAGATTAATTTCTCTCTGTTTCTCCTGTCTTTCTCTCTCTCCCTTTCATTTGTTTTTCTATTTCTTCTTCTCTTAATTCTTCCCTCATTTTCTTTCTTTCTTTCTTTCACCTGTTTCATTCTTTCCTTCTTCTCACATTAATTTCTGTCTGTCTTTATTGTCTCTCTTTCACTTTGTTTCTTTCTTTCTTTCTTTCTTTCTTTTCGACCTTCTCAATTTCTGTCTTGTCATTTCTCTCGCACTCACTCTCCTTCCCCCTTGCTTCTCTTACTCTTTCCTTCCATTCGGCCTCTATACAATTTCTGTCTGCCGTTTTCTGTTTCTACCTCTTTCTTTCGGTGACAAGTCCCTTTCTATCTTTCTTCAATTTATTCTGCCTATTTCTTTTTCTAATTCATTCTTTCTTGTTCATTTGCTTCTCTGTTTTATTCTTTTTTCTTTCTCGATTATTCTCTCCTCTCTCTCTCTCTTTCATCTTTTAACTTAATCTATTCCTTTCTTCCTTTTTGTATTTCCTTAAATTCTGTATCGTTCCTTTTTTTTCTTTCTTTTTTCTTTCACTTCTTTCTTTTCTTCTTTTCTTTCTTTCAATTTTACTCTTTATTTATCGTGTCTCTTTCTTTCAGTTGTTTCTCTCTTTCTTTCCCATTTTTGTTTTCTTTCTTGCAGCTGCATTGTTTCCTCATTTCTTTATTACTTTTCTCAAGTTTTCTCTCTTTTTCTTTCATTCTTTCTTTGAGTTTTTCTCTTTTTATCCTTCCTATCTTCTTCCTCACTTTATCTTTCTTTTTCTTTCTTTCTTTCACTTTTTTCTTTCATTTGTTTATCTATTTCTTTCTCATTTTCTCTTTTTTGTTTATTTCTCTCTCTTCTTTCCTTTCTTTCTTTCTTTTATTTGTTTCTCTATTTCTTTCTCATTTTTTATTTCAATTCTTTTTCTTTTTCTCTTACCTTCTCTTTCTTTCTTCCACTCGTTTCTCATTTTCTTCATCTTTTCTTCCACTTTTTTTTCCTTGGTTTTCCTGTTACACTTTCTTTTTTTTTCTTTTTTTGGTTCTTTCTTTCTTTTTTCCTTCACAATTTCTGTCTTAGTCTTTTTCTCTCTCATTTACGTGACTAATTTCTTTTCTTCCTTTCTGTTTCTATACAATTTCTCTCTCGTATTTTGTTTGTCTTTCTCTCTTCTTTTGACCTTCTCAATTTCTGTTATGCTCTTTCTCTTTTCTATCTCTCATTATTCATTCTCTGTACTTCTCTATTTTTCCCTTTCTTTTTATCTCTATACAATTTATATCTCTTACTCTCTCTCTCTCTCTCTCTCTCTTTATTCCTTTCTCTCTTGAGTTTCTTGTCCTTTTCTTTCTCTCTTTCTTTCTTTTCCTCGTTCACTTCCTTCTCTATTTCGTTCTCTCTTTTTTTTCTCTCGGCTCCTTTCTTTCTCTCTTTTCTCTCCATCCCTTTCTCTCTCTATCTATCTATCTATCTATCTATCTATCTATCTATCTATCTATCTATCTATCTCTGTCGTTCCTTAACTTGTTAATCTTTTAATTTTTCTTCGTTCTTCTTTTTTGTTTTTTCCTAAAATTATGTTTCTTTCTTTCTTCCTTTCTTTCTTTTTTTAATTTTCTCTTTATTTCCAATGTCTGTCTTTATTTCACCTGTTTCTCTATTTCTATCTCATTTCTTTCTTTTTCCTTCAATTTCTCTCTCCTTCACATTCCTTCTTTCACTTGTCTTTTTCTATTTCTTTCACATTTCTTTCTTTCCTCAGATCCTTTTTTTCCGTCTCCTTATTTCGTTCACTCTCTTTTTACACTTTTTCCTCCATTTTGTTTTTCCTCAGTTTTCGTTTCCCTTTCCTTCTTTCTTTTTTTTATCAGTTTATTTAGTTAAAAAGTCTTTTGATCTACTCTCTTTGAATATACATAATAACTGTCTCCTTGTTTCGTGAATTGTGTAATGGGTCTAGCGTTAATAATGTCTATTCATTTCCTCGTAAACCCTATGCCCTTTCTCCCGAAATCTTTCCGCAAAACAAGTCATTCGATAAATAGACACATCAACCACATACTATATAATGGATAAACAGGAATAAAGTGTTTCACATCCGCTCTAGATAAATAAAAAACGCCTGCTTAACATCCGGAAAAACAGACGAAAAATGTTTAAGTGATGCACAATCACTTACATTATTTAGGCTTCTCCTCATCTTCATTGTCATATTCACATATTCGGCTGTTGTACGCTGCGGCTTTCTTCAGTTTATTGAAATTTCGAACCGAACTCTTTATTTCGACCGCCGGGGTAGATTGTTCTAGTTCCACGTGCTATGCCTCTTCCGGATGTCTCAGTCCCCCCTTTAACTCAACTCTACAAGTTTTGGTTCACCACTGCTGTAGCCTGGTATTGAACTCACAACTCTTGGGCTTACTCACTGGGTCTAACAAACGCTTTTATCCACCAACCCCTTTATCCATTGGGCCATGCCTATCAAGGACACATGGCCCAGTAGGTTGTCCAGTATTCACTGCCATAGAAGAGTACTATTATCATGTAATAGTTTCTTTTTAATTATTTTTCTCCGAGCAGGGTGATAATGCCACTGGGATGCAGGGTGTTATCGGGAGTGAAGAAGAATGAGATGTTAGCCAGGAGAAATCAGGATAAGAACAATAAAGGAAGAGGAGTTCGGAAGAAAGAAGACTGCGATTGATGCTTCATTTACATCGTTGATGATTGCAGGTAGCAGGAGAGCAAGAAATCGGAAGGAGGTTCCACAGGTGAGAAGTGCGAGAAAAGAAACTATTAGAATAGAACAGACGTTTACATCTAACTAGTTCAAAAGTAAAGCGGTAAAACCTAGAATTACTCCTAGTTCTTAACGAAATATCCCTGTTTCTTATTACTTTGCTTAGCTTTCAGAAGACATATTTCGCTATCTCAATTTACTTTCTCATTTTAGTGTCACGCTTCTGTCCTCTTCTAAAAAACTTCTAAGATATTTAAATTGTGTCATTTGATTTCGATAACAACCATTCTTCTTGCAAATTATGTTTAGTCCTTTCTTCTCTCCTTCCTTCGCTACTTTATGTAGGAGTTATAGTTTTCTTTTCCTGTCTGCTATCAATACTCTTTAATCTGCGTATCTTATGTTCTTAAGATTTTGGTCGCCAATAATGAATCCTGGCAGGACTTCTAGTCCTCTCAGAATCGCCATTCTGTATAGGTTGAATAAGTTTGGGGAGAAAACACATCCTTATCTTACAACCCTTTCTATTTTTGCATATTTACTGAAGTCGTCTTCTATCCCTATGCCGGCTATTTTCTACCAGTATAGATTCTGGATTATTCTAATATTCTTTCCAGATATGTGAAGGTAGTAGTTCTGACAGTTCTTTGAGACGTAATTTATCAAACTCTATTGCATAATTTATAAAACATCGGTATACATCATTTTACATTTATATAGCTCGTTTTGTCTTTTTTTTATTTCCATTTTCGGTAAAACTTCGACGTTGCCCCATGATATTCTCAGCATCTTTCTGTAGATTCACATCTCTATTGCTTCAAGTATTTCATTCATCTGTGAGAAGATTGTCCAACATTCACTGTCATATAGGAAGACTGATATTACATAAGAGTTCATTATTCTTTTCATTTTTTCTAAGGATTTTTTTCCTGTTTCTTAATATTTTTCTTAGCTTTTGGAAGGCATCTTTTGCTGTGCCAATGCCCCTTCGGATTTTAGTGTCGCACTTTCCGTCCTCTGTTAAAACACTTAAGATATATTTAAATGGTTGTACTTGCTTGATTTGGGTATATCTTGTTTGTAATTTACATGTTAGACTGTTCCTTTTGCTGATAAACATACATTCTGTCTTCTTGAAATAGATGTTTAGTCTTTTCTTCAAGCTTTTCTTTACTACCTTCTATAGCAGCCCTTGTAGTTTTATTTCTGTGTTTTTTTTTTATTAACTGTGCTATCTGCATGTCTTATGTTGTTAAGATTGTGGCCGCGAATCATGAATTTCCACAGTTCTATGTGACGTACTTTATCAAACGCTTTTGCAAAATCTATAAAACATAGGTATAGATACTTTTGCATTTGTATTGCTTTTTCTGAAATCAATCTAGGCAGAGATATGCCATTCCTTGTTACAGTGTTCTTAAAGAAATGACACTGTTCTAACTCTTCTACGCGCTTTATTCAGAATTCGAATTATAAGTTTTGTTATATGGCTCATTAGGCTGAATATCCGATGGACATTCGTTTACACCTGGCTTCTTAGGCAGTGCTATGAAACTGGATCTAAGGTTTTCCAGTATATCACCACTGTTATATATTTAATTTAATATACCTGTCATCTTGTCAATGCCGTAATTATCTAAGGCTACCAGCATCTCTATTAAAATTCCTTCTGGTCCTACTGCTTTCTTTCTGTTCTATTTGGCCAATGCTGATTGCACTTCAGATTTTAATATTTCTGTTCATTCGAAATCTCTGTGTATTAAAAATTGTTCTCTTTCGTTGTGTAAGAGTTCTCAAATGTATTTGTTTCATCTCTGAAGTATTTTTCTTTCTCAGTTTAAGTTCATCATCTATAAAACATATGTATGCATCTTTTCGCATTTTTATTGCTCTTTTTGATATCATTCTGGGCATAGATATGACATTCCTTACCAAATATGTCGAGGTTACCTAGCAGCCCAGACAGTTTATTGAGGTGTACTTTATCAATCGCTTTTACATAATCTATAAAATACAGGTACACGTCCTTCTAATTGGGAACATTATTGAAGTTGATTTTGTGGAAAGAGATTGTAACACACAATATCCTTCCAATCCCACAATAAATATCCTTGTTGCAAACCAGTGTTTGGAGTAGTTAACAATGACTCATTTCATTTTCCCCAAGTTTATTTTGTCCACATTGTTGTAAACAATCCACTTTTTATTGTCTGTGATATCATTCTTTTGAAAATAGGTCGTTTTGAGCATAGAATCGCAAATGGTAATGCAGTCCATTATATTTATATCGTTAAATCTTGAGGCACTCATACATCGTACGATTCAGATATCAAAATGTTTTCAAGTCACTGACCGCGCTCATATGTGGAGTATCTCTGGCGTGGCCCGTATTGTTTCAATCGGTGTTTGTTCATCATCAATGACTGCATTTTACTTTTGTGGTTTTTAATAATTCCAAACAACATGGCAAATAGACTAAGGCAAACACTGTCGTAGTAGTGATATTATCAGCAGCAGTTGCTTACATCGAACAACAACCACTGAGTAGAGCAAGTTTTCTGTCTCTGCGTTTGCAATAGCTATGTCTTCTATATATATATTTCCTTTAACATAACAAAGGAATCAAGAAAACAACCGACAATGGAAAATCTATATAGATTCTAATAATAATAAGAGCTACAGCTCAGCATCAGAGCTAGAACCACTAATAATAATAATAATAATAATAATAGCTACAGCTTAACGTTTTTTAACAGTGCTCAGCATCCGATCTAGAACCACTAATAATAATAATAATAGTTACAGATTGACGTTTTTTTTTAACAGTACTCAGCATCAGAGATAGAACCACTAATAATAATAATAATAGTTACAGATTGACGTTTTTTTTTAACAGTACTCAGCATCAGAGATAGAACCACTAATAATAATAGATACAGTTTAACGTTTTTTAACAGCGTTGAGCATCAGAGATAGAACCACTAAAATCGTCAGACATTTTTAAAATTGCTTTCAAAGACGGTCTTGATAAAAATCCGAGGCATTACTGTGAGTTTCACGATGAATTCGGGTTTCGGGTGGCAAATTAATTGTTAAAACCGATTCATAGAATCTGTAAGCACCGATTACGGTCACCAAAATCTCTCCCTCTCCCCTACACCTTAAGGGGCAGTAATAATAAAACTTGGCGCCTACTAAATTGAAAATATTTCCCCGTTTCATTAAGTTAGGAGTTAACTGGCACAGCAACTCGTTATTCTCCTGTCTATACTTACTAACAAGCTCGACTCAAATCTTCGATTGGCAAGACGGTCTTCATCAGGAAAGCTAATCATTTCCAATTTCTCCTTTAATCACAATTAATTCTTCCTAGAACAAATACTCCACACTTGCAAACTTTTTAACAATTTCCATTCAAAAATGGCATAATCAATTAAAATACATAGTGACTTATTATATATAATAAAAATATAGTTTGAACGAATAGTGTATTTATGGATAAAAATACACAATATCAATAAATGTAAAATTGGACACGGGTCTCAATACCAAGCGGCGAGAGTCTATTTGAGGCTTAAACGCAATCTTCAATCGTGTGTGACTATTTCTATATACTGGCCAATGGTGCATTATGGGTAGCAACGTCTATTATATTATCCTAGCTGTTATTGGGTGGGGGTGGTAACAGTTATGTTTCAAATTGTAAATATAGATTTGCCTGAAGTAAAAAAAAAACTGCGAATGACCGATTTCCTCATATCAATGCTTCCTTGA